AAATATATAATGATGGAAGGAGAACTGACTCTGGGTGGTGAACACACAACATGATATATAGATGATGCATTACAGAATTGTACACTTGAAATCTATATAACTTTACTAACAATTGTCACCCCAATAAACTTTAATTAAAAAAATATTCAGTGAGGTATTTATATCAAAATACTGGAAACAACCTATATATCCATCAATAGGTGACTGACTAAATAAACCGTGATTCATCTAGATGGTAGAATACTATGCAGTCACTAAAAGGAATAGGATACACACACACACACACACACACACACACGTGTGCACACATACACACTGACATGGGAAAATGTTCACAACATAGTAAGTGAAAAAAGCTCATGGAAGACCAATATGTATAATATGATCTCATTTTGTGTAAAAAAAATTATATAAATTTATATGTATACATTATAAAATCTGAACGATTATACACAAAATAATTAAAAGCAATTACTACTGAGGAATGGAATTAGGAGGTGGGAGAAAAATGCTCAGTTTTCTTTTACATTATTATTTGCATATTATAAGCATACATAATTTTAATAATTTAAATTTCTAAAATTTAAATTATATATCTATACCTAGATAGGAAGATGCTCACCACACATTGTTGAAAGAAAAATAAAGTTAGTTATAAAGGAATAGGTATATTACGATCCCATTAATGTATAATTAGACATTCTTACTGTATGTGGTTATATGCACAGAATGTCATATGTGTTAAATGTCATCTAGAATGTCAACTGTCGTTATCACAATGGAGACAGATTTCAGAGGATTTTTTTTTTTTTAAGATTTTTATTGGGGAATTTGGGGGATGGGAACAGTGCTGGGGAATTGGGGGAAGGGGAATAGACAAGTTGCTCTTGGTTTTGTTCTTCAGTCTAGTTGTGGAGGACGTTGCTTCACTGGCCCAAGTTGGCACCATCATTGCGCTCTTCCCGAGCGAGGCACATCAGTCGTCGGCTTCTGGACGGCCGCTCA